TTAATACATATAAATAATAAAAATATTTTTACATATAAAGAATAAATATAACACAATAAAAGAGTTAAAGAGATTAACCTACAATTAAAATTAAATAAATCAAAGCCAAAAACAAAAGGAAGTGCAAATGGAGTTTGGGTTTTCAATGTAGGGACAACTCGGCGGGTCGAATCAGGCAATCAGCAGCGGCAAGCGGCAGCACTGGCGGCAACGCATGCAGCAACAGTGGCAACGCAGGCCCGACGGCAAGGCAAAATCAGTGCAACGATGAAGTTCTAGAGACGGAGATTTTACCGTCGCCGGAGAAGATGAACAACTAATTTTAAAATTCTTAATTATCATCCATAATCTCGGAAGAATTTAGTTTCTAAAATCGTTTAAAATCGCACAAATCTCACGATTTTGTACGTGATCTTCGATCGATTCTTCAAGACTCACGATTTTTTTCCGATTCAGATCGTTGAAGTCACTTAATATCATAAAATCGTACGATCTTAGGATTTAGATCGTGATTTAGATCGCATCAATGATGACTATTAAATTATCTGAGGAATCATTCTCCTATTATGGTTCATTAGTTAACACTATAGTAAAAAAAACTGCTGATGGAAAGGAATTCAAAAAATAAAATAATAATTTTAAATTCATAATTCTTAATCATTGTCTCTGTAAAAGAAAAAATTATCTGAAGAATTACGAGTCGAAGGGTAAAATAGTATACCTTGTTATTTCTACAATCAATAACAATTTATTACTTCCTTGATCCTTGTGCTGCCTCCTAAAACGTCAATTAAAGTGGAACAGAGGACCAACGAGGGGTTGGATCAAATGGTAAGCGGCTTGTTCCAGCTTAAGTAAGGTCTTGAGTTCGAGTCCTTGTGTATGTAGCAGCTCCCGCTGGGAGATTCACCCACCATTTCCAAGTATGCGACGCGGGTCGGGTCCGAATTAGTCGGGACGAAACCCTAGATACCGGGCAGGAAACCAAAAAAAAAAAAAAGTGGAACAGAGGAAGTATGAAGCTAGAGTCACATGTGAGTAGAACCTTTATTTAATTTTACATGTGAGTGAAGGGCAGCATCATGACCTGAAATGGGCCAAGGTTTGTCGGTATAAGACAAGTTGACTTCCCTTTACTTTCTCCTCAGTCACCACCCAAACCAAACTGAAAGATTCCTAGTTTGCAGAAAGAAAAATCCATGGAGCTTAATCATTCTAGTCATCCGCATCCCCTGCTCCTCGTGGAAGATAAGAGCGACCAAGTTAGGGAAGCTTATTTCTCAGGATGCGGGGAATTCATACAGGACTAAGTACTTACAGATGTGCCAACTACAAATTTTACCTTCACAAGTCCTGTGCTGAGCTACCCAGGGAGTTGAATCATCCTTTTCATATGATAAGGCGCAATACGACTCTCCTTGTTTTGCGTTTATGTGAGGGATTTGTTTATCATTGTTCTACTTGTGAATTTGACCTTGACATACAATGTGCTCTGCTACCAAAATTGATTATTGGAGATTTCACTGAACTTAAACATTTTAGCCATGAACATTCACTTTTGTTCGTTGATGTTAAGACGTAAATATACGTATTGTAAATATTTTATACTTTAAAATATTTTTTTAATATATATTTTATACCTTAAAATATTTTTTTTGTAAACAACTATATATAGATCATTGTACATACAATATTATTGAAAATAGTAATAAACCTTTGTTCAAATATTTTTTTTTTTTCTGTTTCTAACATGGTATCAGAACTATAAGCTCCTAGTTCTTTTCTCTTATCATCATTGTTTGGTTTCTTTTGAAGTTGGATTTTCAAATCCATTTCAAATCTGAAACTTTGACATTGGGATATTTTCTCCTACAGATTGGATTATTTATCCTCGATTCTCAGGCCCTTTCTGAGGTATTTTTTTTGGTTTGTTATTTCAATCTTGACATCTATTTCTTCATATTTTTAGAGTTTTTTTAGTATTGTGAGTTTTATTGATTCTATGGCGAGTTTTGAAAGCACTATAACTCATCCTGCTACTACTATGTTTGTTAAAGAAGTGATAGATCAACCTAATGTCAATCTTAAATCCCTAAAACAGGTGATATTGAATTTTTTTAATGCTCTTATTGCCTTATCTACTCCAAGTACAAAACCTTGGTATTTTGATTCTGGTTGTTGTAACCATATGTCTTCAATTACTGCTCATTTCTCTTCAATGTCACCAAATAATTCCTTTCTTAATATTTATTTTGCTAATGGTTCCCCTATGAATGTTAGTCACATTGATAATATTTCTATGAAGTCATTAACTTTACCAAATGCCCTCTTAGTTCCAAAACTTAGTTATAATCTTCTATCTTTCAGTCAATTATGTGATCTTGGTCTTGAAATAACATTTTCTGCTCATGGTTGTTGTGTGCAGGACCCACGGGCAGGACAACTTTTCGGAATTGGTTGCAAGGTGGGGTGTTTGTTTGAGCTCAATTATCTGCATATTATTGATAATAAAATGGATACACCATCATTTCCAAATGATCGATTCATCCAAACCCTGCTTTGTGCTGTTGAATTAGGGTCTTTGCAAATTCCATATCAACAAATCTTCCAAGCCTGTGCTGTTATTAACATTTCTGCTCTTCATTTGTGGCACTCACGACTCGGACATACCTCAAGCGGTAAACTTCATCCACTTATCTCTCATGGTTTATTAGGATCTATTTCAAATGAATCCTTGTGTTGACGACCACTTAAAACATTAAGTGTGAAACATATAGGAAAATAAGTCGCCACTCATCCAAATTATAAGGTGGGATAAGTCATCTAAAATAGGTCTATGTAAATATTGAGGTTCGAGAGTTCGGTTAGAAGTGAGAAAGGACATACACGCACCTCACAATCTTCCATTTAAACATGGTTGCACACTTTAACTTTGGGGTTTTTAATTCAACTTCTTTATTATCTTTATATTTGAGTTTTAATAAGTAAACTTGAAAATAGATGGACCAAATTATAACATTTTAAAACTTTTAGACTAAAATGAACAAAACCAAGAACATGCATGCACAATAAACATAAGTAAAAGTTAAGGGATTGATTTGATTAAATTAAACATGAAAGATTGATTTGGAGAGATTTGAAATCTTTGAGCTAAATTACTTGATCACGAAAAAGTTTTGGGTGGAATTGAAATAAAAGGAGGATAATTTTGACTTTTACCAAGATTAAAGAAAATTAAAAATTTAAATTAATTAACTATGATAATGAACTTAATTGAATGATTGATTTAATATTAATTAAAATTAATTAATCACATTCATTAACCTTTGATTATAATAATTAAATAACATAATTATCTTAAATTAAGATCCATAAATATAATTAATTTATTTTAATTAAAATTAATTAATTTTATTAATCATAAATTAAATTAATTATCTTAATTAATTAATCATTTTATTTATACCATTTTTTTTACTTTCTCATTTTTTTTATGCTTTGTTTTAATTTTTTTTTGGATTGGGTCGGATCTACTAGGCCCAAAAACACAAACCACTCCCCAAAACATTAAAAAAAAAAAAAGATCAAACATCGGACAAAAAAAACAAACGAAATCTGGAAAAGGGATTTACGGTTCTTGTTTAACTTTTCATCAGCACAGACAAAGGAAAATAAATAAGCATTTACTTCAACTCAAATTCGTGAAATTCAATCAGAACATGTTTGATTTTTTTTTCATTCACAATATCATCATCAAATACAGTCCTAATACATAAAAATCTAAGAAAAATTGAAACAAACAAGATGAAAATTTTCTGGGAGAAGACAGATCCAGATCGGAAGGAGGGATCCCACCCACAGGATCAAGCTCCATTCGTCTCCCTCACCATCCTTCCCAAAAATTCCTCTGTTTAGGGAATTACCTAAGGAGGAAATAGACACAAAAAAATAAGCTTCCTTTTAAGCCACTGTCCACCTCCAAAGAAATTGTCTCTTCCCTTCAACCAGCCTTCCTCTCGGATTCCCCTCTTCTCCCTTTTTTTTTTTTATTGGACTCTTTTTTTGCCGCCGTTGGCAAAACCAAAAAATGCAGACCAAAAGAAAAATCGCCTATTTTTCTCCCTTTTTTTTTAGTGACGAGAAGAAAAGGAAACCCAGAAGGAAAAAACCCGAAAAAGAACCCCCCCTAAACTCACCGATCCTTTCCTATTTATACAAAAATCAAACGGAACCCTAAACTCCCTTGTTCTCTCCTCATCCCAACCCTTCAATTTTTCTTATTTTTCTTCCATCGTTGATCAGATGAGGCCAAAATTGACCTCGCAAAACAACCAAGAACGCTGGTCTGCCATCATGCTCAGTTGGCTGCAACGTGGGGCGCAGGATCTATCTTTGTAGAAAAGGGGCGGTGCAGAAAGGGGGGTGCAGGATCTGGTTGTAGAGGAGGGGCGGTACAGAGAGGTGGGTCCATGTCGGTTTTGCAGCAAGTAGGGGGGAGCAGAGGGGTGCAAGAGAAGAGGGTGGAGTCGGCTGCAACAAGCAGGGGCGTGAGATAAGGGGGTGAAGGATCGGTTGTGCAGCAGGGGCACAGAGGGTTGCAGAAGAGGGGGGTGGAGTCGGCTGCAGAAGAGGGGGTTGCAAGAGGTGTGCAGAGGGGCGTACGAGTGCAGGGCTGGTTCATAGCAAGCAAGGGGGAGTAGAAGCAAGAGGGTGCAGGATCGGTTCTTTTTTTTTTTTGTTTCCCTGCCGTTGCCACCCCTCCCCCACAGCGCGCTTTTTGTCCGTTCCTTTCCTGTTTTAAGAGAAAGGAAACTAGGGTTTTGGTTGGGTTTGGGCTGATTTTTATGGAGTTGGGCCATTTGAGATGAGTTTGAGAAATGGACTAGATTTATAGCTTAAAGGATTTCATCCCCCAACTTTTGATTTCTTCAATTGAGTCCTTTCTTTCTTCTTCTCCC